CGGTAATAGCAATGTCATTGGAAGCGCCGGCGTCAGCAACGTTGGTAGCAGCAGTAGTACGCACGAGTCGTTGATGTGTGTAGGATCATAGCCCTCGACTTTGACGTCGTTGAGTCATCTCATCGATTTCTATCCGCTAACGCCGCAGGGCAAATAAGTCCGCTGATAGCCAACGCAGCTCGCGATCCGCAGTTCGTGGATTCTGAAAAGGCGCACGGGCGAGAGGCGATGGTGAATATGGATCTCTCGCCCACCCTCTGGAGCGCTCGACGTCCGGCCGGCGACTCTCGAGGAGCCGCCTTCACTTTCTGTTTCACGTTAATTTATTGTCGCGTCAATTACACGTGTACACACTAATACATACAAATGGACACGTACATCGATACCGATACAAGACCTTCTGTGACACTTTTGTTCTTCCTTCGCTTTTTTTACCACCTACTCCATCACTATCGGCTACCATTACCGACCCTACCGTTACCATTACTTCTACCATCCCTCCCGAAACTATTTACCACCCTCCCCCCCCTCTCCCCACTATCGTTATTGTTACTTCTATTACTATCACTACTATTGCTAGTAATACTATATTACTACTCTTACTCTAATACTATTACTACTATTACTATTATTACTATCGCTAATCAACGTGTCTCCCAACGTTCTGCTCCCCGAGGGACGGACGCGTCATGACACGCGGCATCCGCAGGTGCAGACAAAATAGAGCGCTCTGAGGGCTTAACGAACGAGTTAAGAACGGGAAGAGAGAAGAAGAGAGGATAAGGGAAAGAAAGCCTTTACTGTCCGCGTGTCGACAGGTGCTGCTATTCGCGATGATCTGGTGTCCTGACAAATATTCGGACGATAACTTTCGTTTATTAAGCTACCGCGTACATGAGACCCGCGTGTATCATCTCCGCCGTGGAATTTCGAGGCCAGGTGCAAGCGTAATTTACACACGCCTCGAGATAATGTAACTCAAGATTTGAGAGAAAACTGTCGATAATGATCAACTCTTCAACAGCTTATAATAATGATTCGATAAAAGTGATCCTAAGAAGATTGAGACAATGTTTCTGCACTTGCATTTGCAAGCTCGAGAATCCACGTGCGAATCCTCCGAAGGTGATTAAGATGTACAAGAAAATGTACAGAGAGATTCGAGAGAACGGACAGAAGAGAGAGGAGAGAGGAGAAAGGAGAGAGAGAGAGAGAGAGAGAGAGAGAGAGAGAGAGAAAATTGGATTGGCTACGTCGAGTGCGAAGAAGCTTCCTCTTCGAGGCTGGAAAAACCAACGAGAACGTTGCGATCGAAGTCTTCCGGCCTAGGGAGCCTTCTGCTCCCTCGCCGTTCTCGTTCGCAGCCTCAGATCGTCCGAGGGATTTTCTTCGTGGAATGGCGTGCGATGTCGAGGTCCGCGTCTCTGGGAGGAACAATCGATGATAATCACCGACGATACGCTACTCGCGCATATACATATACATATATACACGGACACGCATCCACATGCGTTCAACAATATATACACAACCATACAAACGCACATACAGACAAACAGACAGTATACCTACATACGACTGCCGTGGCCTATATTACACGAGGAGACACGTGCGGGTGTGAGTGCACGCAAGTCGTACGGTGCTACAGGACGGCTGCATCCTGGTGCTTCTATCCTCTGGACACACGACACACATATATACAGAGATACATAGACACGGGCATACATTAAGCCGAAGACGTACCGAATACGCACGGATCGCTCGTAGCGTCCGTCGCTCGGGGTCGTCGTGACGCGTGTCCTGCCGTCGTAAGCGTGATACGATGTAAGTCGGAGATGTCGGCGTCTCGAACTTGAGATACTTTCGGCACCACCGATCCAGAGTAGATTCTGCTTGTTCGAGCATGTCTCATCTCGTGTGTCGGGAGATTATTAATTAAAAGGCCTGAATCTAGCTATTAAAAAATTAATCGGATCCTACATAATGCTCTTAAAATGGAAATACCTAGCAATCATTTTTGTCTGATACATTGACATATGCGATTACGGGACTTAACATAAGCTGAAACGTTCATCGCATTAAAAATAAAGTCGTAATTTATGAACGTACAGCAAATTATTGAACAGGTTGAATCGGGTTGGTGCAATTGGGTCTCGATTAATTGTTTACATGTTGCGAGGAAGTAAAAGAACAATGAGTGAGAGGGTTTGAAACATTTGCGTTGAAACTGCGGGATGTGTTTGAGCTTAAAATATGCGGTTTAATCAGTGAGTGCATCCGTTTAAGAACATTACGAGCAGAACAAAAGTTATTTTCATATAGCGATTTTACGAGATCTCACGAATGATCTTTGTCTACTTTGATTTTTACACTATATCTCTATAGGATATAAACGCGCACAAGCGCACACACACACACTTTACATACATGTGTAAAGTGTAGATGAAGATATATATTTGTTATTTTTATTTTAAAGCGACACGTGTTTTTTAACGTGGACGCTCACTGATTAATAATGGCAATCTGTGCACTGATTATTTTTTCAACGAATAGTAATATTTATTTAGAATTCTTTCAGCATTTTTTTCATCGCGATTCAGCAGGGAAATATATGTCGTGATTGTCTCAATCACAAAGTCTAATCGCAAGTTGAAATGTGAAAATTAAGCATGCAAAGTAGTCCATTAGGTTTTCAAAGTCCATTAAGCTTCAACGCAACGGATTAACCCTAAAATGCATGACGTGGGCCGGTATAACTCGATTTTAAATGCGAACTTCGCATTAATTATTTTATTAGAGTGACCATGAAACTTGCCATGAATAAATAAATACAAAAATATTAAAAAATTAAGAACATCTTACAAAAAAAAAAAGAAAGAAAGAGAGAATATGAGAACTTATACGCTAAAATTGTTGCAAGTAGAAGAGAGAAACGAGATATAAAATGAGTACTAAAAATAAAAAATGAAATTTTTAAGTCTAATGAAATTTACTGTAGTTAATTATAACGAGATTTAAAAAATTACATTCTTTTAAAGATGTCAGAAATCTCCCTTCATATTCCTGTAATATCGAAAAGAGAAAATTATTGAAAAATCATGAAGGGAGGTAATTACGAATGGGGTGCAACAGGCCACGTCGAGCATCGCGTATGTTTGTATGTATGTGTATCGCACGTGTGTATATGTGTGTAAGAGATAGGTGACGCGTCCCAAGGAGATTAACGCGAGACGCCGACGCCTTCGTGTGGATATCTTGTGTCTCGACATACGACGTCGACAAATGTACCTGCATTTTAGAGATCGGGATAACGTTCTCCCCTTCGGATCGTCGCACGGTGGCCACTGCGCGCCACTGATCTCCCATAAATGTATCATATGTACATATATACATATATATAAATATAAAATTAAAAGCCCGCTCGACCCCGGACGCATCTTCTCGCGTAAATCCGTGCGCGATCTCGCCCTCAACGTCCACGAATCCATTGAAGAGCAGCTATACTTAAAAGCTAAACGATTTAAGAAAGTCTAACGTTACGAAAGAGAGTAATAATAGTAACTTATCGACTCGACTGATTACTTAAACGCGAGGGTGAATGTGAGTAAGCGGGAGTGCGAGAGAAAAGGGAGAACAAGGAGTGTGCGTATGTGTGTAAAAAGGGGTGATGTGATTATCGCGATATAGAGTTGATTTAAATTGTAATTATATATAATGATGTTCTCTCTCATATGATACACGACACAAACACACATACACACCACAGCACATCTATACGTACACAAAGATATACGCGAGGTATGCTAGGTACTTGTACATATATATATACATATAATATACGTTACTTATACTAAGTCTAAGCTCTTAAGCATAAACGCGAATCGTCGAGAAAGAAGAGACCCTTCACACCTTTCGTCCCACCCTGCGTGTCGACTATCCTTCGAAGATCCTTCCTCGAGTTCCATTTTCTACTTTGTACTATAGCACACATACGATTGGCACACCTTCTGTCAAACGCGCATCTTCCCTCTTCCGCAAACCCTTTCCGTCTCCTTTCCACCGAACCGTCCTTGTCCGATGATAATGTTCCCCCATCCCTTTCTTCGCGCGATTTCTCCGCGGAAACGACGAGCAATATTACTTTTAACAAGCTGCGGGGAATTTAGGGAAAGAACGTACGTACAAACCCATGCGTCTAACCGCGCGTGAGTGTCACACACGGGTCCTTTGCGTATGCGTTGTATGCGCGTTGGGCGTCGAACGTTAGTAACGGCGGGTGAACGGAATCGCAAGCCATGCAGATGCAAGGTCTCGCACCTCTCAGGGAAAGAGCAGTGTGATTAGACGGGAGAGTAGCTCCTTTCCGACAGAGAGAGAGAGAGAGAAAGAGAGAGTTCGTCTTAGATCTTAAGTATCCTAAGCTGTCATTGGCGATCATCCGGCTATCTTTCGCCGTTAGCGTTTCACGAAACTTGTATCCGCCGAATTGTAATTCGAATCGATAAAACGGAAATCTAAATCTTTAATGTCTAGCCCGAAATTAGGAAAATACTCAATTTTCGAACGTTCGTAACTCCGGGACATCCCGCTGACTGAATCGAGACGAACGGAAGACGAATTGACAGGAGAGTTTTCTTGTTTCTAATTCGATTCGCCCTCCAGTTATTATACGCTGAAGGAAGGATTCGGTATGCGTTTGACTGCTCCGCGGGAAAACAAGATAATGTAGCAATATTCTTTTCTAGAAATTCATTTTTCTCACATGCCATTACAGTTACAATTATGATTGTAATTTTAAATATGATTAGTATGCTGTCGCCATAAGTCACTGTAAATCGCCGATTTTCGTAAAACGGTGAATGATATAATTTAACTGATTTCATTTCACTCACTGTTTTTCGGTGGAGCAGCTACGTTGTTCTTCCACGATATTGTTAATTCCGAGCGAAGTTACTGGAAGCCGAGAATCGTACGCGCATGTCTTAAATCGCATACGTTTCCGTTAATCAAATCCTTCCTTCTCTTCTTCGAGAGAGATTGAGTAAAATAATTTAATATTAATAATCACTTATTACCCTGGTGAAAAAATTTTGCTGAAATGATTCCATGTTTTGAAACATTTCAGTGAAATTGCTGAAAATTTGCTGAAAATTTACTGAAAGTGAATTTTTCAGTGAACATTTGAAAAATCGCTGAAACTGGACTGAAATTTCTGCTGAGATTTTTCTGAGATTTTGCTAAAAATGAATTTTTCAGCTAAAAATTGCTGAAGTTAAACTGAAATTTTTCTAAAATGCTGAAATTTCGCCGAAGTGTCTCAAAATGTGAAATAATTTCAGCGAAATTTTTCTACCAGGGTATAATTAAATCACAAATCAATATCGAGCAAATATAAGTTGTTCAATATATCTCGATCGAAGAAGTTACTTATGTATCTTCCGTTTGTCCGGAGGCGTAAATGTTCGTAAAGCATATTTCTAAAAAAGTAAAGTTCGTTATACAATTACGTAAGCGTAGTAGTAAGAATTGACCAATCACAGTCGAATTTGAGAATACGCGACTGTGATTCATCAATTTTTACAACCATTTCCAATTACGCTTACGCAATTGTAGAATGGGCTTAATGTTGGATACCTTCACCAGCAGCGTCTCGCGATCGCAAGTAGTAATTGAATAACAATTGATAAAAAGATTCATCAATTCTATCACGCGATTTCCGAGTCTACAAAAATTATCTGCGCTCAAGTGTCACTTCTTAAGCCTATTCTATAATTACTATTAATTAATTTGTGAGTATAGTTATATGGTCGTAGTTGTAAAAATTCATGCAGCCGAATATGAAGAAAATATTCGACTGTAATTGGGCAATTTTTACGACTACGTCACTTACAACTGTGCTTACGCAATTGTAGAATAAGCTTTGGAGAAAATATGGAAATTCGCTTTTGCCTGAGAGTTCCTTCGACTTAAAAAAAAAAAAAATGTCTGATTGTGGGACATTTTCAGACGTCTCAAATGTCCAAGAGACGCGCAAAATCTTTGAGACCTTTAAACGGACGCTGATGAACATCCTCGCGAGATGGTCCAGCGTCGCTTCGGCTCCCACGCAGAAGCGAAAGCGCGAGAATGTGCGAGCGCTGCCGGCATCGGTACGTGGAGCTTTGCTTGTTTTTCTTTTCGCGATTACACGCTGACGCGTAGCTCGCGATCGGACACGCGTATCTCGTGAAGTGCCTAAAAACCGCCGAAGGGAGAAAGTTACGGCTGTTAAGCGCGACGGCAAGGCCGCGGCGCGGAGTCCTCGGCACGCCGACGTGCATACAAGTGACAGCGGTGTGTGCGACACGATACTCTGACGGTTATCGCGTTTCTTCCCGTTCTTCCCTTTCACCTTTTTCCTTTTTTTTCTCTTTTTTTTTTAACGGGATGCCGGATGGAGGCGTTTGTAAATAGTATAAATAGCACGTGCGCGAAGATACGTTTAAGCGAAATGAAAAAGAGGATATAATAAGTTTAATATTGAGAAAATATATATATAAATAAGATATATATTATATATTAAAGAAAAAGTGTATATATATATATATATATATGTATGCGTATACGTGTACGTGTGCGTGTATATGTGTATAAGATTATTATTATTATTGTATGCATATATATGTACATATTTATCTTGATAAATAATATGAGGCGGCGACGAGCTCGCGCGACGATCGATTCTTCCTCCTCGTTGCGGTGATATTCGGACGAAATTTATTTTCATTCGCGCTTATAATATACGACTCGTGGCTATTCAATAATACTCATCAAAAATTTTTCTTTTTTTTCGTATCATGCTGACTAATTTTTTCGAACTGACTTTACGAACAAAGATTATTTTAAAATAAAGTTTAACGGAAGTATCATACCTAGAACATATTTCTCTTAGAATTAACGAAAATAATTCACATATTAATTTGTAATTCGTCTCAACATGCATATTGAGCTTATGGTTACATATTGAGCATAAATTATAATTATGTCAATGACGTCTGATCGAGAATCATTTACTTTGCGTACTATATAAAATTTGAGTCAAATGCGAACTGATTTACCACCCTCGACTCTGTTCCTTCGTCCCTTCAGAAGGTTGTAAACGAGAAGCAAAAGTTCCAGGTGAAAAAGGGACGATGAGAAAGCCGTCGATTGGAAAGCGATCAGGCGCGCGCGACTCGACGCTGTCGTAAGAAATTAGGGCAGGAAGGATGCACGATTGTACATTGTAAATAGTAGCGCAAAGAACGATGGTTACAGAGAAAGAGAGACAGAGATAATTAATTTAAAGAAGATGAGAGAGTAATATGGGGTAAAAAAAGAAAGAAAAAAGGGGGCGGTTGCGAGTCGAGGCGGTGTCGTCGGCCGCGTTGAGCAAACGCACGGCACAGCGGCACTTTTGGATCATCCGGATTACAAGCGCTTTCCGGAAGTGCGTTAGCGCCCGTCGCGCGTCGTCGCGACGGGACGGCGAGAGCCCGGAAGCGTTCTCTCCCGCTGTCCCAGCACCTTCGGTGCCGTTTCGCTTCCGTTCGCGAACGAATACGAGCCCGCGACTAACCGAGCGATCGAGCGGAAACATCGCTGAAAATTATTCCGTGCTCTCGAACGAACTGTTACGAGTCGTCCGCCTTGATTCGACCCTGACGCCGTGCGCTCGCAACGCGCGTGCCGGGTACGCGCGTTTTAACAGAGCCGGAGATTATACTCTGAGAAATGCGTAACTGTATCGTCGACGACCACGCACCGATCACTCGATCATAACGTACGAAGAGCGTGGCATTGCGAGGCCGTTGCGTCTAAAAAGGAAACTGTAAAGGGGGAAAAAATATAAAATTATTGTATAACGAATACGACGAATTTTAAAAAAAAAGACCACCGGTCGTCGGTCGTCGCCGTTCGAGCGAGCAAGACGAAATCGCACGCGACTCGATCGGGCCCACGTTTTTACTTGCGCACAAAACAAGCACGTGTGCTCCTCGATCATTTAGGAATTGAGAAGAAAAAAATATATAATCGGCGAACAAATGTTACACAGGAGAGAAATCGCAATTACTCTAGTCCTATATGCGGTCGACGAATAATACGGCACACGTGTGTTCGCGAGTGATCGGGCGTGTCGCCATTTCCTTTCGTTTCTCTTTGTTCTAAAATCGTGGAGTTGTATCACGTACTGTTCTACCAAAATATATTAGCAGCAGAACTGACAGTAAAACGGGGAGTCGTTTAACTGGATATTGAATGACAAAAGTTGAGTAAAAAGAAACTGCAGCGCACGATATGAAAAACAACAACTATCAAAAACAATAAAGAGTATTATTCTATATATAACAACGACTTTTATTGCACCTCATCTTTCAGCAATGCGGGTAGGCTATCAAGATATAAATGAACGCTTTCAGATGATTGCTTGCTAAGCCAGTTTGAGTATTGTTTATATAAAGTTTAAGTCATGACTTGTAAAGCGATCTTCATTTTTTCTATTATAGATGTCGATGCAATTCGTTTTAGCAAACTACAATATTTTTTATGAAAATACCAGCATCAGACTCCATCAAATCATCATAAATCAGATATGATCTATACGAAGCCTGATATGCAGCTTTTCGAACACCTGAACAATTTAGAGACTTCATATTGGATATAATAAATATTTATTTTAGTTTCATCATAGAGGGGATAAAATAGATATATTTAAATTTAAATATAAATGCGATTTTAGATGTTGACCTTTTAGATAAGAACTGTTTAGATTAAAAGAAAGGCAATTTCTTTATTATACTTACATATCGAGAAAATATTAACATATTCAATTTCTGTCACTTGCAATCACATAAAATTTCTTTGTTTCTGGATAGCAAGCACATCAGTCTTTCAACAATGCATATCTCCAATAAGAGTAGTATAACCAGACAGAAACTGTTTTATCAGTATAAAATAATCTTATCTGACTTGTATCTATATTCTTAGAATGTCTCTATATTGTCATTCCTTCGCTAGTAACTTAAAGCTTCCATTCTTATAAATATTTTCAGTCAAAATTCGATAATTTCTTGCATTCTTGAAGAACTTGTACTAATCAGGAAACTGTAATATAAGAGATAAAAAATTAAAATGAGAAAAATAATTTAGCAGATAGATATTGCATATAGAAGAATAGGAAAGTACTAGCGTCTTCAAGTACAATTTTTTTTATACCTTTTTCGATAATATCTTGACAGAGATGGATTTTAATTTGCTCTCTTTATACGTTTTGATGCTTTCATCTATTATATTATATACATACAATTATCGTCATTACTACTAAAATTATTTAATGTCCGAAGAGACATTGTTAACATAAACTTGAAGAATGTGTCATGCATTGATATTCGAAATTACTAAGGAGTCTTGCTCGTGCATCACAGTGTGCTTTAACATATTTTTATTTTTGTTTAAAGATCTAGTTACAGTAACCGCGCTGCATCCATCTGCAGTTGTGCGTTTGGCATGCCTTAACATGTCATTCTTCTGTGAGAAGCTTTTACCACAGGTCTCGCAAGAATAAGGTTTAACACCCGTGTGGATTCTCTCGTGTATGGTTAGCGCGCCTTTACGCGTAAAACCTTTGTCACAAAAATGGCACTTATGCGGCTTCAGACCCGTGTGGATCTTCATGTGCTGGCTAAGATTACTGGAACATCTGTACTGCGTATTGCACACCTTGCAAATGTAAGGGCGTTCACCGGTATGTATCCTTTCATGAATCAGCCGCGCCTCTCTCGAAACGAACGAATTTCCGCAATAATGACACATATGCGGCTTCTCTCTCAAATGCTTCGATTTCTTATGATACATTAACGAACTTTTACTTGCTAATTTCTTGCCGCATTCATCACATTCATAAAACTTATCGTCTCCATGTACGCGCTCGTGATTTAACAAGACGGCGCGCTTCGAGAATATTTTATTACAAATGTTACAACGCCATATCTCCTTATCGGTACATTTCTTCTTAATGCTGTCCACTATTTCCTCCTCGGTATGGTTTTTCCTGTGTATCTTTAATTCGCTCATAGATTTACATTTGTAGGTACAAACCTATAATAAAATGCACAATTTTTCCTATTGTTTTCAATTATTAATTTTCGATGAGAATATAATTGTGTGATATCAATATATAAAGACAAACAATATGTAATAATTCATAATTTTTATAAAATACTTACACTACATCTATATCCTCCATTATCGTTATTATGCCGTTTCATGTGTGCGATCATGTTCCCTCTACGATTAAACGTTGCATCGCAAATTGAACATGTATGCCTATTAGAGCCATGTGATAATTTGTGCTGTCGCAATTGAATCCTTTTGTAAAAAGCTTTGCCGCATTGTTCACAACAATAGGGTCTATTATCATCGTGCTGATTCATATGTTCTCGCAAATGAAATCTGTAAACACAAGAAACAAGTTGCGTAAAATGTAATCCTCTCTGTTTTTCTGAATTTAGTTGGAATAATCTTGAGTATAAATTTCTTCAATTACCGTGATCTAAACGCATTGCCACAGATCTCACACACATGTCTTTTCTTTATAGCTTCATCCAAATGAATTCTTTTATGGCCCCTTAAATTATTGGAATGCTTAAAACTTTTTCCACACAGATCGCAAAGATAGGGTTTATCTACTCTGTGAGTAGCTTCGTGAATATCTAAACTAGACCACTTCTCATATGTTTTATCGCATGTAAAGCACTTAAATAATAATCGTCCCTCGTGCGATTCCATAATATGTATTAACAAGTTTTTTTTGTTACGATACACTTTTTCACAATGACCACATCTTTTATTCATTTCAGTAAAATTTTCATGAAGATGTTTGTGATTATCATAATCCTGCTGACATTTAAACGCTTGGTTGCAAACAGTACAATGCACGGATCCGCTGTTTGTATCAGTAACTTGCTTACCATCAAATGTTTTTTTGCGTGTCTGGAAATTTTCTATTTTACGATTAAGTTGCTGATTTCCGTTTTCTGCAGTTTTACACATATCTACATGTTCAGAGATATCTTGTTTCTTATTACAAACTATTTTATGATTTTCAAATATTTCCTGTGTTTCACAGAAAGTTTGACACTGTAGACATATAACACTAAGACTTCCATTTTGAATCTTATCTTGTTGCAAATTTAATATCTCTTCTGTGATAGTCTCACTTGCATTATTTTTACTGTTAACTTCTCTACAAGTTTGGATTAGAGTATTTAGTTCTAACGGCACATTTTTCGAAATGCTTTGAAAATTATTATTCTGTATTTCAGTACATTCTCCATTTTCTAATTCTCGTAAACTTTCATCAGAGTTTATCATTTTATTTATAGTAAATGAATTAGGATGCAAATTATCATCCATACACATTTCTTGGACTATCTCTAAGGAACATTCGTCAATCAATGCATTGTACTTATTTTCGTATTCTGGCTGTAAAATAAAATATTTATTAATATAATAAATAAATATAGTTTAAAAACATTTTTGATAAATAAATGTAACTTACAAAAATATTTAAAATTATGATCAACTAATGTTATACTAGTTCTTACCTCTCTGTCAATATTTAGAAATTGTTTTAAGCGCATGTCAGTTCTAAGACATGAGACAACTAATGAATGTGTAACTTCCAATTTATTACAGCAATCAGTACATACTTTCCGTGGTAATGAATCGTTTATGTCAATCGAGATAGGCATATGTAAATTTATTCTTTCTTTTAATTTAAGTTCTATGCCCTTGGTTGCAAAGATATCTATTCCATCCAAAGTGGATGTTCCACAGATTCGACAGAAATTGGCAAGTTTGACAGAGATATTATGATACTCGTCTATTTCGACATTCATATCGCAATATGTTAAAGGCATATTGTCATCTATTTCTTGGAGTTGCTGTGCCTTATGAAACATATTTATTGAGTCTTCATCATCAGTAGTCAAGTCAGTCCCAAATAAAGTGGGAATGGTCCCTTCTTCTACAACAATGGGAATAGTTTTGCTTATATAACAGCGATCTTCAATGTGATGAGAACAAATGTAATAATTTAAATGCAATTCTGCATTTGATTTTGTAGCTAAATCCGATCTGCCGCAACATTCTGCCCATACTTTAGCTCTATAAAAATTAATTGTCAAGATTTAAATTATAAAACAATGAGTATAAGGCTAATTCTACAATGTGCTTTTTGTTTCCTCTTTCTTGCTATTTGTCTCTTGCCTTTTTGATCAAGAAGGCAAGATACAAATAGCAAGAAACCGGAAACAAAAAGCACATTGTAGAATTAGCCTTATAGTTGTAGTTTTCGAGCAATGATTTAATAAGCAAAATGAATTTAATAATTATCTAAGCATCAAAAATAATTAATCGGAAAAAGTATTACACTTACGTGTCATTGTTGGGAAAATTGATAAAAGTGACACTCGAGGAATCCTCGTTTTCTGAAGAATATTTGCAATTTAACGCAGCGCAAACAATTCTCATCTTGGATGATTATTTCTAACTGCAAGTAGAAAAACAAGTTTATTGCCTTCAAAGCTCTTTCCCATGGAAAGTTTCTACAATTCGGAGGTAAAATAATCGAGAAACGAAAATATGTTTGTAAAGAAGCCGCGACTGCTACGCCAATCCATTCACGTTCCACGAACTAATTCGTTCATGGCGCTTTATTTTAAAATTACATATGAACATATCAGTCTAAACTTACAATTAAAGGATCATCTACAATAGGGATCCGTAACCATAACGTAACCATAAAGGCCATTCTACATTGGTCGTATCGTAAACGTCGCAAGTCATAAGTTTGTTGCTTGAGCCAATCCAAACCAATCCGATACTTCAATTTTAAAATCGTATGATGCTTACGACGCTTCCGACACTACGATACGACCAATGTAGAATGGCCTTAAGAAATCTGTAGATCATCGTAGAAGCGCCTCCGTAATGCCTATTCTACAATTACGTAAGCGTAGTTGTAAGGCCCTGCGCACAATAGAAGGAATTAGAAATTAGGAATAAAGAATAAACGATTTCAACCTATCAAAAACCGTGTATTCCGATGTATCCGATTTCTGATAGGTTAAAATCATTTAATCTTTATTTCTAATTCCTTATTCCTTCTATTGTGCGCAGGGCCTAAGTGATTGTAGTTGAAAGAATTGACCAATCACAGTTGAATATTCTTCTTGTATTCGACAGTGATTGATCAGTTCTTACAACTACACTATTTACAACTACACTTACGCAATTGTAGAATGGGCTTAAAGGCCATGGCACATAAAAAAAATTAAGACGTAAGACTTAAGCAGTAACGAAACCATGTTGGATTCGTTATTGCTTACGTATGGTCTTACGGTCTCTGTTGTGATTGGTCGATTCGCTTACTGCTTAAGTCTTACGTCTTAATTTTTTTTATGTGCCATGGCCTTGAGAGTTCAATTTTTTAAACTCTTAAGGGTTCTCTACATAGAAGTCGTAGATGGTCGTGGAGGGGTGGCACCCAGTTGGACACGGCTCAATTGGACACGAGCCACTCACAGCGCTTGAGACTACAAAGCTCCTAAGCACCGGTCGCTGTGATTGGTGGTGTTTAATCGAGTCGTGGTCAATCGGGATCACCCCGTCGTGGAGTCTTAAGTCGTGGGAAACCAACCAATCACAATCAAATATAAGGAGAATACTCGATTGGAATTGGTCAATTTTCTACGACTTAAGACACCACGACCATCTACGACTTCTATGTAGAGGACCCTTGACGATTACGTTAACAAAAGTTGGGTTAGAGACTGTGAGCGAAGAACCGAGTTCTATTTTCTGCAGAGCGAATAAATTGCAATAATGCTTTAAGCCTATTCTACAATTACGTAAGCGTAGTTGTAAGTGATTGTAGTTGTAAAGCCCATTCTACAATTGCGTAAGCGTAGTTGTAAGTGGTTATAGTTGTAAGAATTAACCAATCATAATCAAACATGAGAAAAATATTTGACTGTGATTAGTCAATTCTTACAACTACGCTTACGCAATTGTAGAATGGGCTTAAGAATTGACCAATCACAGTTGAATATTATTCTTGTATTTGACAGTGATTGATCAATTCTTACAACTCAACTATTTACAACTACACTTACGCAATTGTAGAATGGGCTTTATGAATCGGATCGGATTTAATCGATTTGGTTGAGAAGTGTAGTCACTTTTATATGATAAAAGCCGTCCTGACTATAAAAATCGTGTTAAAACGCGGAATTTATAGCAGTTATTCGGATTAACTTAAAAAATTGCTCGTAGTCATTATTTTTAAGGAATTAAAAGAGAGTATAAAAATGACCTTTTGTTTACGCTCCAACAGCATTGGCCGAACCCAATATTTTCTTTTTCGAATCGTTTTCCTCTTTTTCCGCAATAATTGTAGCATTATTGCAACCAAATTATAAGCCAAAAGAGCTAAATTTCTAATTCGCTTAACATCCATTATATAAAATTGAACTTTTGATTTAGTTATTAAAACACAAATACTACGAAGCAGGTTAAAAATGACTCGTTTACGATTTGTTAAATTAACGTTACGTTACGTTACGATTACAGCCATTGTAGACTATACGGGATGGATTTCTTACACGTTAGTGGTTACCCCGGATCTATAATAGGTGTTTTAAGCCTTAAGCCGTAAGAAATTGACCAATTACAGTCGAATCCGAGAAGAATAAGCGACTGTGATTCGCCCATTTCTTATGATTTAAGGCTTAAAACCCTATTGTAGATCCGGACTTACGGTTATGAATTCTATTGTACCTGCGCCTTAAATCTATATGGATTCTTTATGCTAATTAATTTTAATGAATAAAAGATAATGCAAAGTCATAAACTGCCTGGAAACGTAACTCACAAATATAATTAATTTTGTAATGTAATTCAGCTGATAATGTAAATGTAATTAATGCTAAATTAGAAATCTATGTAAATATAGAAAGTGAAATAGACACGATTCATATAGGTCTGACATTAATATGAGTTCGAAATACGAACTGTTCAATGATCACATATATTTCCATCGCTCATGAATATGAATTCATTTAAGTAGCAAACGATCACGTGTTTTAAATAATTTAGCTATAATCTATTAACAAATATACTAACAATCTATATATCTACAAATGTGTGTGTGCGCGCGCGCGCGCACACACACACACACACACACACACAACAAACAAAAATATATTTCAAGAGCGCTTCTTAAATGTTGTATAACTTAGATTTTTATTTGTTGGTATTTGTGACTATATACTATAATTAAATTATTCAAAACGCATAATCGTTTGCTATTTAAATAAAAATATATATACACATACAATAATAATAAAATTATTATTTAAATTATACAAACAATCTGATATTACTCGCTGGTTGAATCTAATGCATGAAAAACTTTTGGATTGTCGATATCTAGGAACAAGCATTTAAAAATGTCATTGTAGAAGTCCGGATAATATTCGCACGCACGCTGGCAATCGGGCGTAAAATTTATTTCCAACAGCTTGGGTTGCATTTCGCAGTTTCTCCATTCCAACATCATATCGGCAGCGTACACGGCTCTGCTTTGCGGACTTTCGGCTATTCCTTTTGGAGGCGGCTGCGCGACTGCAGCTTCAAAGGTCTGTCTTAAAACGGAAAGAATCTTTGGCTCGACATAAGTTTTCCAGGGATAATCGGGATACTGATTTTCCCATTCTACGATGAAATCGGCACATTTCTCATGGAACAGTGAATTCTCCTTGGTATAATTCATCACGGTGAAATGTTGCTCATAAGCATTAAAATTGTTCAGTGCGAACGGTTGATTCGCAAAACGCAAGAAGAAGTTTGCATAAGCATACGCACGTAGCGGCTTTACAGATTTAAGTAATACAACGTATCTCACGTCGAATTTTACTTGATTAATATCCGATCTATTATATAAAACTGGTCGTTCGATGTACTTCTGCACAATTTTTGGGCCTGTGCAAGGCAGCCGTAAAATATAATAGAGATTATTCGTGATATGAGTATCTAAACCTCTTGCCAAGTTCCATGGTTTGCAAATCCAATGATTATCCAAATCCTTATTTGCTCGTTGCATGAAATAAGCAACAAATTGTACCAATTCCGTGCTTAGATTATATGTCGTCGGTAACCATGCTGGATAAGTTTCTAGAGTATCCAAGTCATACAATTTGTCAATTGCCTTTCTTCTACATACAATCGATAAAAGATCTTTTGTCGTCAAAACATTCTCATATGGAAATTGATTTACAAAAACGTGAGACGAAGAAACATTTAATTCCTTGTAAGTTTTATAGTGAGACACAAACCATAATATGTCTGCCTCTTCTTCGTTGTCGGTAATTTCAAATGCTGGATCTGTCAAGTAATTATTCACATAACTGTATTGTGAAAAAATCTTTAATTTTCTGCTGTTATCTGTCTTGATTACGTCCAATTTCTCCGGCAAGCTTTCAGGAACATAACCTGCTAAAAAATAATCTGCATCTGGTTCATTCTGTTCAAAACTTTCATCTTCAAAAGTACTGTGGACCCAAGGCAATAATAGCGCGCGTCTTTTTTCAGGATCCTTCGTTTGACCTTCCACAAAATCTCTTGTGACTTCATCACCTGCAGTAACATCTCTTATAGGAAATAGAAGCGTATAAATTACACCTTCTGGCAAATACAAAAAAGGGACTGCTCTAAAATTTGGATCATCACTGTGATTTATCGCTGAACCAACCTCGTCCATAATGCACCATATTGGCATTCTATCTTCTATCTCTCCATAGTTCACCGAATATGATTGATTGTAACGCCACATTTCGTTTGTAACATCCTCGACTTTTTTCTGCTCATCCAGCTCTGTATTTACTCCCATGAGAATGCACATTCGATCAAGTAAGCCAGGAACTTGAATTAAATTCTGTTGAACACTACTGACATCATATGTCCATGCATGATCAATAAGATAAATATTATTAGAATCTTGAACAGAAATACCATTCTCTGCAGATACAATTAATTTCCATATTGGTTCTGTAACATGCTTTTCTCCATTTTCGTATTCTAGTTTTGTCAATTGGAAGACAAGACCAGCATCATAAATCTGATCTGTTAATTTCTTATATAAAACTTTCCAAAATAAATGTGGGATACCATAAGATTGAAGTTGTACTTTATGTGTTGCAAGAAACACATTAAATAAGTCCACACCATCCATTGCAAAACATAAATAAGTCTAAAACAAATATTTAGCAACTATTTATTCAATATAAAAACAACAAACATTTGTTAAATACATATTGCCGAGAAAGAATATTTCTATGTTTTTTGAAATTGATAAACGTGAAATATTGACAAAAAAACCAGGGTAAAAATAATATAAATTATCAAAATGTTAAAAGAAATTCAATAAATATTTACATTACTTCAAATAACAGTACAAAACTTGCAAAGATACATTTTGGATTATTATAGGTTAACTAACTCACGCTTCCCCTGCACCCCTGCAGAGTTCCGAAGTTCCAAAGACAGAGAATGGACTGCGCGATCCGTATCTAGTAGTATATCAAATGTGGTCGACAA